TTAAATTAAAACAAAGGAGAAGCAAGCAATACAGATTAGTGATCAGTCCTTGACAACACTGTTTGCACATGTGCAGCTTATTCATGTCTATGTCAGCTGAATATGCTGCTCCGCCTCTCTGCCTCTCAAGAATAGACAGAGAAAGAGGTGTGCCTCTTGCTAGCTGGGCAGTACTGGCAACTCCCTTTTGGTTTTGTTTGTGCAAAAAGTCACTAGATTTGTCGCTAGGTGCTCTTTTTAATAAAAGTCACTAAAGGGGTCTGAAAAAGTTGCTAAATCTAGCGACAGAGTCAGTAAATTGGCAACATTAGTTCAGCCTCAAAAGTACTTCATTCTCCAAGTGGGAATTGAAGTACTAATATAAGTGTCCAGTAGCTACAGAAATACACAGCTAGCTAAAAAAATTTTTTGTCAAAAAAAACAACGATCTTTAAAAAAACTGAAATGACATCAACTTTACAAGGTCTCAGTTATAAGAGTGATAAAATGTTGAAATTATTTTTTTTTTAACGAAGTTAAAAAAGCGCAGAATAGTTGCAGTGAAAACATCCCACTGCACAGTTGATGTTGAGGGACCTCGTAATCTGCTCCCTTGTGCACTAGTATTCTTCCATAGAACAGTATTTTGTAAAGACAGTTTAGACAAAGCATCTGTGAACTGCCTCCCTGCAAATAGACCTGCTGTTGTGCGAATGGTGCAAAGTTACATAACCTGTCTTAGTCATGTCTGTCCTTTGCAAAAGTATTTGAATATGGGGTGAACACCTCAGGCTTTTCTCTGGAGCTGGCTTTTAGTCTGCTACATCTCACTCGTCTTTCTGTATGATCTTTTATGCTGTTTGATAGTTTCCCTCCCGAGTATTTGTGTAGTGGTTAGGCCGAGGGTCATACCATTCTGAAAGGGTTAGTGTGTGCCTCTTTGTTTTATGATGCACACCATGTGCTGACTTTGTAAACATCTCAGAGGACGGGAAAGTAAACCTTGTTATGTAATTATATTATATTTTACATAACATTGTGTATGTGTCTGTGTGGGGGGGCACTGCTAGTGCTCTGTCTTTTTTTTTCCAGTGAGAGAGAAATATGGTAAATATCTGTAAGAGCTAAAGTCAAGCAGGGGTGTCACAGAGCTTTCTAATTCACTGGTAATGAGTAACCAAAACATACCACCTAAAAGAAACAAAAAACTAAACTGAACCATATGCCGGTAAGGCCGCTGCAGTAAGTACGTTTACATTACAGACGGCACGTGTTTTGGGCTCTGTGGCTATAAATGTATTGCTTACATTCATTTTTTTTAGGCAGAAGTGGCTAAATGTTTGTTCTATCCTCTGTTTGGAGTCTCATTGTTTTTTTTCTGACTGCATGTGAGCTGTTGTGTGTGCAGTGTGTGTGAGTGTGTGTGCAGTGTGCCTGCAAGTGTGTGCTTTGTTCATCTTAGTGTTATGTCATCACTGCCTCCCTCTGGTCTCTGCGGTTACGTCACATCTCCATAGTAACTTCCTTCATCCCCCTCGCGTGTGTGTGTTCTGAGTGCATTCTGGCTCATTGCACAGGTAATGGCATTTCTACACAACGTGTCAGAAAGCAACACAACGGCCCCGGCCGTGCTCGTGTTCCAGCGGAGCTGGCATGGTAAGGCCGGGCTGCTTCACTCTAATGGATCGCCTCCTGCTTTCCCTCTAACATGATTTTTCACATGGCAGCCGTGCTGCATGGCTAATTAGACACGTGTGCTTTAACCAGGCAGAGGCTTCGGTGTAGAGCCCGACTGATATGAACATTTTGTCTCTGATATTGAATTTAAGGAGCTAAAACCTCAGATAACTGATAATATCAGCTGATATAGTTGTATGTGGTCACAAATGAAATTACTTCTGCTTTACTGCATTACATGCTTCCAGTTGTACATCCAGTTGTCATATGACAATATGATCTATCTGTGCTTTGCCTATAAATGCATTGTGAGGTTGGATAAACCCTACAGAGCATTTAACCTAATGAGAAAAATCATTCAATCTAGGCAGAAATTGTGGCACTTAATTGAATGCATTATAAACCATAAAACCCTTAATCACCTCGCACTGTCTAATCTGTTGCATCTGAAGTAGTCCGCTTTGTTTTTGAGGCAGTGAACATAAAGGAATGGCCAGTCTTTTGGAGTTAACCTTAGCCTGTTACAGACACCAGACAGATTGCCACACTTCCTCTTGTACCACCTGAGAAGCTGCCTGAGTGGTCAACTGCGCTCAAGAAACCGCGGATACTGGAACTAATCGTGTGAATGACTATCCCTCTAAATTATCTTTTCCAAATTCCAGCAGTGTCTGACGATCGGAGGCACGAGTGGATGGAACACACATATGAGACAAATGAGAAATTTAATGATGCTGAAGTCTCCTTCTTTTTTGAAAATTCCCGTTCCACCTTAAACGGTGCTGCAGTTACATTCAGACGCTTTCTAACAAAAAGCTGATTTACTTGTTATTAAAAATGTTTCTTATTAACTGTGAAGGGACATCCTGGAATAATAAAGCACAGATAACTTACACATCTTTAAACATCTAAAATGGTTTTATTTGAAAAAATCTTGATACATACCAAAACAGTCAAAAATTTTATTAAATTTTAATTAAAATATTAAAGTTTTGATAACAAAAACACACCTGATCTATCGTAACAGTGTGATCTTTAATAATATATTATAAAATTATAAATAAATATAAGTAAAAACTATTTACACACTCTTACTTTAGGTTATTTAAAAAAAAAAAAAAAACCTGCGTTCTTCAGTTTCTCATTATCTTGAATGGGATTTTTAACAGGCTTCTGTAAAGCTTTTCCTACCTCACAACAATCGCTAGAAAAGAATGCATATGTGGGCGAAGCATGGATAGTAAAGATGGCACAATACCATTTTTTCTTTTCTGATACCGACATTGAAACCTCATCGGCCAACAACGATCTGATATTGGGCCCTTTGCCAGTGTGCCATGGCAAGCGAAAGAGAGACGGAGAGAAAGATGGTATAGAAAGAAAGGAGGAAAAAAAAGGGATCTTGTGGGGTTCTCTCAGGCCGATTGGCTCTCCTCTCAGCTAAACTTCACTGGACTTCTCCCCGTGGAAAGATCACTGCTGTCTCCTTGCAGCCTGGATGAGAGAAGCACATCATATTTGCAGTGCATGTCACAACTATCCTTACTTTACATGATTACTTTACTCTTGACATCGGTGTACCTGAGGGTGCCATGAATTATTGAACAACCTCTCCTGGGACTGCCTGAGCCTGTCCGCATTGCAACAAAAGGCTGTTTGTGAAAGCAGCACTCAAATCCACTGTCAATAGATGTGTGTATGTGCGTGTGATAGGAGAGGATAAAAAGGCACTCGCTAATACCTGACCTTACAATCAAAGCTGCGAGCAAAACGAAATAATATCAATAACATCAATCACGACAGGGCTTTCAGGGCGTGCATGACGCCATTGCTCACGTCACATTGTGAAGCTCCGTTCAGTGTCAGCGCTCCCCACACTAAGCGCTGTTTATCTACAGCCCTGCGCTATAGAGCTTTTATTTTTAGCCAGAGGAGCTGTAAGTCAGAGCAGTTCCGTGTGCTCTGGAGTGAAGAGGAAATGAGCAGAGGTTCTTGAGGACGCTGTAACCCAGATGACAGCGCTGACAGAATAATACGAACCCCCCACCACCACCACCCCAGTCAAGCCGTGCCGGAGCCTAGGCCTCCCTGTGATGTCACATTTATTGCGCCTTATCCCCGAACAGACGGGCTTCATGAATATTCCACAGCGCTGCGCTGGCTGTGAAGATGTCGCGCTCTGCTCCCCCCGAATAATGCCGCATTCGTTGAGCTTTCGAGCCTGTGATATTGTGACACTGCGTAACACTTTGCAGCTCACAGTGTCCCTGTGAAGGCTTTGGAAATGGGAGCGTTCTGGCCGTCTGGTCCAGTCAGGGCCTGTCCGGGACACGTTTTGAGACATTGCTGTTCAGAGGGTCATTTTGAGATATCGCTATGTGAAGGGTCATGGTTCTGAAATGCACCACGCAGTGTGCTGTGCTGTGACTTTGCACATTTTACTTGTCTAGGTGACACATGGGATGCCAGATGGATTATCAGAATCTGTGAAAAGAATGTTCCAGTCCACGCTGATTTCACACTCTTTGCTAGACTTAACGATACCTTGCCTGAGCAGACTGAATATTGGTTCATTGCTTCTCAGAGTAAGCCACCACTTCAGGTGCACTGGGGGATTTGGGGAGGTAACTACTAGCTACAGATGCACCAATATGGAATTTTTTGGGCGACTGCAAAAGCTGGTATTTAACACCTTGTTGTGGCCCGCGTCAGTGTCAGTAACCAGATTTACTTCTTTACATTTTAAAACAAGTTCACACTACAGAACACAGTATAGTTAATACATGAAGGTTAAAATTTAAAAGATGCTAGTTGCCTCTTGGTTACCAGCAATTTGGACGCACAACTAAGAAGCCAAATGATAGCTATGGTGATCAACCCCCAAAAAACCCTTAAAATCATAAAAAGACCACAGTAGGTGAAGAGGAGCCTTCCCATCAGTATATCAGTGATAAGTCATAATGTCAATGGTTCAAACTAATTTGCCTTCATCAGGGCAAAAATCAGAAGCAACATCAGATGATCTTCATAGGGTTATACAAAGTTATGATGGTTACACTCAGTCTTAATCATATTCTTTAAGCCAGTGGTCACCAACACTGCTCCTGAAGATTTGCCTTCCTGCAGACTTTAGCACCAACCCTAATTGACCCATCTGATCCACCTGTTTATTGCCTTCAGAAGTCTTTGTTTTGATGGATCAGGTGTGTTAGATTTGGGCTGGAAGTGAAACTGTAACTTTTCAGTACATTAAATATTTCAACAGTTCCCAAAAACCCTCTGATTTCCAATTGCCACTTTGCTGCAGCCTGATCTGACGACTGTGTTGTCTCTGCATTTCACAGGCTATGTCTCCTCCGAGGTCAGTGACAAGTGGGAGAGTCGTAGGCTCCTGCAGTACTTCGACAATGACACAGAGGGGCATTCCTACAGGAACTGTACTCCGCCAGGTAAGAAGCCGTACCCGGTACCACCAAACATGCGTAGTCATTGGTGCCATTTTGCAGGTATCTCAGCACCAGTAGACAGTTAATACAGCTGATGTACTGTGTTAATGTTTAGATAGGTCACATGCAGAAGCAGAAGTGTGACCCCTCTGAAACTGATTAAGTAAGAAGTCTGTTTGGGTTTTAGTTCTACAATTGTGTTTTGCATAGCTAAGCATTTATGCTAGTTTTCCACAGGGAAGTGCCTTTCAGGGCTGAGCTATGCTGAGAATCATGTTGTGAAAAGAGACCTTTGTGTCAAATTAGACTGCATGTGCAATATTACTGTCATACAAGCACTCATGTTTACAGTTCTGCTTTGTAAAGGTCACTGTGTTGTGCAGTTTTGGGGATGCTGTTTGTCACTTTGGTCTGGGTTAGGCCTACAGAGGGGTAGTTTCTGACTGACTTGATGAGTTGGTCACTGGTTCCTTTGTTACCCTCTGAGTGAGTAATTCTGCTGACACAGACGACACTATTGTTGCTCCGGAGGCTCTCTGCAGGCTGGGGGAGGTGGGGGGGCATGCAATGTACAAGCCTTTGCGAACAGAGGACTAATTATGAGTAGGGGTCATGGGTTAGAAAAGAGAGCCATCCCACTTACAAGTGAAAGCAATTGGAAGTAAATATCAGCAGTGATAACATTTAGCCTGCTAAACATATGACGACAACGTTTAACATGCCAAAATCTGTCAGAAATCAGAAAAAAGCTGTGGAAAAAACCATTGTCAATCACTATGCATCAAGCTTTTTGCTGACTTTGAAACAAGAGAAAAGCCTATTTACAGCTGTGCAGTCTTTTTCTGCACAATGAGTGGTAAACACTGCATAGGCTACATTTTACAGTAGTAGATTGACTTTAACAGAATAGTTGAAAGAATAATTGTATGTACATCATTTACTTCTTACCTCAATTGTACTTGATCAGCCAAGACATATGTGATGTCCAAAGTTTAGTTATTTGGTTTTGCACAGGAGCTACAAGGCTGGCTTCCATTACTTGGTAGCTATTTTGGTCTTATACTGAAGGTTTAAATTCATCTCTCAGCATTACATTCAACCCAGAATAACACCACAAAAAGACATAGTAGATCACACATGGCTTGGCTTGAATTTACACCAAGAAAGACTGTAAAGCCTTCTAAATGAACAGATAGCAGATAACAGATGTTAGTGCTGTGCCTTAGCCAACATTACAACCCAGTCACCTGGTATCTTTCAGCTTGGCAACAGCTAGTTTGTGAAGTTAGTTAGCTGATAGAAGATGTGATCAATTCACAAATTATGTTTTATTCCATTCAATTTATGTGAAGAGAATGTAAAATGAACTTGAACTTGCCGTTTATTGGTGCCCCCACTGTGGTGCATTCTGTTTGATATAGATGCACTTTTTGCTGTATCTGCTACACTGTGCACAGCGCATGATGTGTGGTGGTCATGTAGAAGCTGACAAAAAGACATGGCAAGTAGGTTTAATAGCCTACTTTGTCTAAGTTAATTAACTACAATATATATTACTTACGTAGAAAACAAATATTTAGTCATCAGCAGGCAGATGAATCCCATAAGAAGTTAAACAAAATTATGGTTCAGTTTGCCAGATGAATGGATAAATTTTTTGTCATAGTTTGGTTGTTGCACTAAAACACATGTAGGATAGTGTGAATGTTACCTATCACAATTCAAGGAAGACCCCCCAGCCCTCCCTCAATTCAAACCCTACGTATAGTTCCTTTGCCTAAGATGTCTTGGCTGATCAGCTACATTTGGGGTATGGTCAAATTCGATTTTTTGCTGAACTATCTTAGTGATTTCCCAGTGAAACAATACATTCTAACATGTTTACAACTTATCATTGCTAGCTTTTGCTGCTAGGTAGCACTTTTGTTGTTCATTAAATTGGCTAATTCTCCTGTGTTTTTTTTTTTTGCTGCATAGAGCAAGGAGGCTGCCTTGCACAGAGCTTCACACTCTAAGCCAATGTGAAGTGGCTAATTAGAGCAAGACTTAGAGGAGAAGGTATCGTTGCTGAACAAAGGAGTCATCGATACTCTAGGCCAATTGATTAGCTGACTCCTCCTCCTACCCCAGAGCAGTCCCTTCAGCCACTGCAGTGCTTTTGTTAAAGAGTAGCTCTACTACAGCACTGTGTTAGTATAACTGTATTCCTGAGGGCTTTATTTGAACTGTTAAATCTGTAGACAATAGCTTCTCCTATCCAAGAGCTAAACCAAATATTTAATTTTATGGGAAGCACTGTTGTCTGACAGTGTTTTAATATTTCCTCTAAATTTTTCCTCTGAATTCGAGTATGCTTAGGGAACAGTCTGCACCGAAACAGGAAGATAAACAAACCAGAGCAGATAATGTATTATCTCACAACGACTAAAACACTAGCGGTAAAGGCTTGTTTTTCATGGAGGATTAGCTGCGGCTCATAGGCTCTGTGTGTTGCTACTCTTTGCTGATTGCTGTGTTGTTGAAAGAGCAGCTCGCTGTCCGCAGTGCTGCCGGGCCAGCTCGTGTTTGTTAGTGTTTTTCCGCGGGCGGATTCGGTGAACGTTTCCAAGTGGGGTCTTGGTGTTTCAGGAGGCTCTGGTCCTTGCCAAGCAGATCCTTGATCTCACCATTAAAGCCCAAGTGCTGGGAATCCAGATACACCCTCCCCTTCACCCCCAAACAGCCTGCCGCCTTGGCACAGGTTTAGGGTTTCCTTACTACCATGAGTCCCCCATTGCTTCGGCATTAAACAGATTGTGTTAAAGTATTTGTCTTGTTTTGTCCAGCTCATGATGTTTCATTATCCAATCATGCTCCCGCTAAACAATCTATATTTAGATAAAGAATCCTAATGGCTTGTTTCTCCTTAATTAGTCTTGACTCTGGAAATGCTGTAATTATTTTAATTGTGATTATTCTTGCTTTTCTGAACAGCGTTTTTTTTTTTCTCTGTTTTTTCCTTCTCTGTCTTTATCTGTCTCCCACTTACACACACACACACCCCTCACAGTTCTCTAGGGAAGTGCTTCAGAGAGAATCCCCCCCTTTCTCAGATCTCTGTATTATATTTCCCACAAATTGACACTGCAGCAGTTTGGCCTACCCGAAGTATTCAGACATTCATCATTACACACAGGCAGTGCAGTGATTAGCTTGATTACTAATGCTAATGTGCTGTAAATTAATTCTTCATCCATCAAGTCACATTGTCTGCCACGCTGTTTGAGGCAGCTGAAGACAGTCTGGGGGCTAGGCTGATGAGTTTATTTGATTGTTAACCCTCCAGGAGCCTGGCTGCTGCTGGAACTTTTAGATTCTATGCTGACATACAGTGTAGAGAAAATAGCTTAACTGTAATTTCATTACATTTATACCAATATTCAGATTCTTGACTATTATACAAGTGTTTAACTTACCAATATTATACATTTCAGAGCTGGAATCAATTGCACACCTTTCTTTATATTAATTATGTTCATATGAATTAATACAAATTTTGAATTAATAAATTATTTTTAGAAAAAATAGAACATATACCCAGACGGTATATGCATATGACTAACAAATGCATGAATACTGATATAGTAATTAGTTTTAGGTTTTTCTTCTCTTTACATTGCACACACATGGCAACAGAAAGACACAGGCTCCTCTTAATATTATAGTCCTCTTAATATTGTAATACATTGTGATAATACCAATATACTAGCTAACCAATGCCAACACATTCTGGGCTCGATGTCTCCTGTGTGTTCATTAGCTTTGGATGGAATTCATCACCCATCTTTGCTATCTTTCAGGTATGACTACTGAGGTCACTGCCCCTTTTGCTGAACAGGTTATGGGTCAATGGACACTGCTCACCAATTCATCAGCCTCCATACATGCTGCCAACCAGTGTCAGAGATCAGAATATCCATTGCAATTTTGTGCTCATTTAAGTTTCCAGAAAATGAACCTGGGAGGTCAGTTATAGGTCAGGGACCTCATACTTCAGTCTTCATGAAGAGGCGTGTCACTGCTGGAGCTTTTCACAGAGGTTGCATTGTAGAGTAGCATGAACTGGCTAGGTTACTAGCTATGCAGAACCACTGGTATCTTCCAGGACCTGGCCAAAATAAAAAACTGACACCAGTACTGAGTTTGAATTCTGATAATTAATAATTATTAACGGTTAAAAAAATCATCAAAAAATATCATGTTTCACTGGATTAGGTACATTATGAGTACTTTTCATTTTTTAAATGCAAATAAACAGCATAAACTCAAAGTGTTAAAAATATAAAGATTATTTAAAAAACACCTTACCTACTTACTTAATCTTAAAACAGGTGAATAATAGGGGTAGGATTAAAAAAATGTATTTTTATTTAATTAATAATATTTTTATGTATATTAATCCCATTGTTACAGGATTACCAAAATGCATGAGATGGTGCCATTTCTTTCTGGTGAGATCAGGGCTTAGGACTGTTTAGACAGCATAATGAATAACATGTTCGCAGTCACACACAGAAGAATGGGGTTTGATCCCGTTTTCAGGCAGGAATCAGAAATGCAATAATACACCAGTAAGGCAAGACTTCTCATGCTACATTGACGTGTCATTGTAAATTGCTTTTAAGAAGAACCTTGGTTAAATAAGGAAAGATAAAGTCTGTTTTAAATGTTGTTTATCTACTTCATAAATTGAAGAATGATCTAAACATGTAAGAATGTTGTTTTGTCTACTTAGTCTTCAGTTTTGTTTTGCTTCCATAAAATGAAGTGAAAACTTTATTTAATAAATCTCGATATATTTGATAATTCAATGTTATATCACAGTACTTATATTATAGGTTTGCTTTAATAAAATTTTAAGAGACTTCGGTTCATTATTGGGATTTCTGCTGAAACACTTGTTTGTCCAGTCAGTTGGACGAGGTGCAGTCCTGTTACTGTTGCTCTTTTATGTGTCCAGTTGA